TCAGACCTCAGTGAGGCTGAGAACTGGTGGATGCTGCATTGCAAGGAGCTGTGTTTGAAAGAAGAGGGGACCCATTTGTTTCTCTTTCATCAACAGCCTAAAGATGAGACGAGGTGCACCCTCAGCAAGTTTGCAGGTGACACCAATCTGGGGGAGTAGTAGGTACACTGGAGGGCAGGGCTAGGTTTCAGAGACCTCAACAAGTTGGAGGACTGGACTGAAAGAAATCTCATGAGGTTCAGTAAGGAGAAATGCAAAGTCCTGCACTTAGGACAGAACAATCCCATGCACCGGTACAGGCTGGGGGCCCACTGGCTGGGCAGCAGCCATGTAGAAAATGGCATGGGGGCTACAGTGGACAATAAGCTGAATATAAGCAACAGTGTGTGAAGAAAGCTAACAGCATGCTGGGCTGCATTAATAGAAGCACTGCTAGCAGATCGAGAGAAGTGATTCTTCTCCTCTATTTGGCACTGGTGAGGCCACATCTGGAGTCCTGTGTCCAGTTTTGGGCCACCACTACAGAAAGGATGTGGACAAATTGGAGAGAGTCCAGTGGAGGGCAATGAAAATGATTTGGGGGGGGAGCCGCATGACTGCTGAGGAGAAGCTGAGGGAACTGGGCTTATTTAGTTTGGAGAAGAGAAGACGGAGAGGGGATTTAATAGCAACCTTTAACTACCTGAAGGGAGGTTTGAAAGAGGATGGAGTTGGGCTGTTCTCAGCGGTGGCAGATGACAGAACAAGGAGCAACAATCTCAAGCTGCAGCAGGGGAAATTTAGGTTAGATAGGAGGAAAAACTCTCAGATGGAGAGGGTAGTAAAGCACCAGAACAGGTTACCCATAGAGGTGGTAGATTCTTTGTCCTTGGAGGTTTTTAAGACCTGGGTAGACAAAACTTTTACTGGAATGATTTAGTGGGGGTTGGTCCTGCTCTGAGCAGGGGGTTGGACTAGATGACGTCCTAAGATCCCTCCAACCCTCATTTTCTAGGATTCTATGGAAGGAACTTCTTAAGAGCCTGGGGGCTTGCACTGAGCATTAGCCTTTGCTAACATGCCTCTGCCTCTGTACCATTGTTTCATTCATTCATTTTTTTATTTATCCTCCATTTTTGAGGGGTAGGCATGGTACTGGGAAGTAAGACTAGAGTTATGGGTCATGTGCTTCTGAGTCTCATGCCCAGCTCTCCCCCTGACCTGCTGTGTGGTCTCAGATAAGTGATTTCTTTACCTCAGTTTCCACTTGACTGTTTCACCAAAACTACGGTAAACAGTTTCTATAACAATCTTTTGCCATTCTTGGATCAAACCTCAAAAAGTACAGAGTTCTTACCATGTAATAGCTATCCCTGTTCTACCACTCTGATCCTTTTCTATTCACAAAACACGGATACATTTCCTTCTGCTCTCTGTTCCTACCATCCAGTACTCCTGGGCTTTGCCCATGTTATCATCTATCTACCTCAAATTGTTTCTGGATAGTTATTGCAGTCATTTGCTAATCTTGAATCAGGTTTGTGTGTTGCAAGCTGATCATTTTTCAAACCAGGAAATGAAGAGAGAGTCTATCTTTGAGCAGGTTCTTTTAAATCCATGTTCCTCGCTAATTTTACCATACCTTTCCAATCTCTGTCCAGTTTAAGTCAGCAAGATTTCTACCTTTCACTTCAACAGCCAGGCTTTGGCTCCCAGAGCATAAAGCAACAATATCACAGCCATCCCATCCAACACAGAGCTCATGCTGAAACTTGCAGCCACTAATGTAAAGAAAATAGGGCTTGATCCTGACATCCTGCCCCAATCACAACTGCCATTGTTCTCCTAGGAATGGGGACTATGAGTGATGGTCAGGGCCACAAGCTGCAACCTGCTACCTCTCCCCCAGAATCACTGGTGAGTATGTAATCATCTGATTCCTTTCTGGGTCCACACTCAGCATTAGGTCCCTTTGATCAAAACACCATGAACAGAACAGCTGTGTTAGATAGAAAGGGAAATCAGGCTGGATCATTCCTGTTGCAAACAGCAAAATCTGCCTAAGGAGCAATTCCAGTGAGATTAAGGACTGGGATGATTTCAGAGAAGCTCTGAGTTGAATGTCCCTCCAGGGAGCATCAGGAGGCTGGAACAGAGGCTGGAATTGTCATCACATTTTTAACATTTTTATAAAGTGTCCAAGTTTTCTTCTGGTGGGAAAATTCATAGCAAGAGAAAAATGTTCTACTGAGTTTTTAGAGAGGTTCATGCGCATGTGTTTGTGTGCATGTGAGCACATACATGAACACATTCCCCTCAAACTCGTACATGATATAACCCTGCTATTTCTTTTAAAATAGTCCAGTGATTCCTGAGACGTACAGAGCAAGACTATGGAATGTAATAAAACATGGTTCCATAGGACATGAGGCCATTTCTGTAGTATCTCAGCAATATTTTTTTAGTGAAGTCATCTTCACAGCACCCCTGCAAGGAAAATACTATTATTCCCATTAACAGCTGGTGAACTGATGAATATGGGGCACTAAATCAGTGGTATAACTAAGGGTACCTGGTAACTGCCCCAGGCACTGACCAGTGAGGGAGAAGTGGGGGGGTTGGAAAAAAGACTGCTACTACAGCTACACAATCGTGCCAGTAGCATGGCGGCAACCAGAAATGACCAGTGTCCCTGTGTGTGCCAGCTGTCCCAGGTGCCCAGACACATTAAACGTGACTTTAACAGCTCTGCCTAGAGCACTGCAAATATGAATCACCCCTTTCCTCAAGACTGAGCCTGAAGGTTCAGTCCAGTTCCAAAATAAATCACTGGTCCTCAGTAACCTGTCCTGTGCCCCACTCCCACTCACCCAACAATGAAACATCTTGGCTAGGGAGTAACTTATAGGGAATGAAAAGAGCATCATTTTTTCTTCCCTGCAGTTCTTCTGAAGTTTATATCTATCTATCTGTCTATCCATCTATCCATCCATCCATCCACCCAGAGATAAATGTAAAAATACACACACACACTCTTTTCTTTTCTTTTTTGTTCCTATTTTTACTCCCTTTATGTTTTTTCCAGTTACAAAATTCCATTTAAAAAAAAAAAAGCCTGCCTGGAATTTCTTTCATGCCCCATTCCCAGCCTGTGTGTATATTTCCCAATGTGTTTTTAAAAGGTTGCATTGACTCAGCGGGGACGAGAGCCAGCTCTGGTTTCTATTACAGATGATTAATGCCAGGGACCATGTTTAGACTCTCTGAGTTTACATGCTGGTTAGGGACGGAGGGAATTTTGGTACCAGCTCTGATAAAATGGTTCATTCCTAGAGGGTGGTGGAGGGGGGTGTTTGAGGTTCACATTACTGGGCAAAGTTTTGAAGTCAGCTCACTAGGAGGGTGGGAGCAGACCTTGTCAGCAGAACGTCATGGAAGGAACCGCAGTGTTGGATCACTCTGAATTCCTGGCTGCTGCTACTGCTATTCTGGTTTTATTGATCTTTAAATATGATTTCTTTGTGTTCAGAAGAAAAATCCTGATTTCTTCGGTTGGGGACATGTTGATACAATAATGGAAGGAATGGGGTTTAATGACAATGAGAATAACAATAGTGAAATAGAATCCGAATAATGTGAGAAGAGAACGTTCCTCTTTCCTCGCATTTTGCCGTCCCCACACCCTAGCTGTGCCCTGGTGATGGTTTGTCTTCTAAGAGATGACTTACTTATATAATCAGTTCCTCAGGGCAGAGGCCTTGTTTTCTTGCTTGTCCATACTGTAATGTGAGCAGTCGTCCTGTGGTAACAAAAATAGATTATAATCATTATAGGAACATAAGGCTTGCCAGCCTGGATCAGATTAAAGAGCCAACTACTTCAAAATCTTGTCTCTGAACTGGTTTGGTAAATAATATTGGTAGAAATACTATAGTAGAAAATAATGGAATAATGTTCTTGAAGGATCTTCCTGACTTTTAGCAGCTGGTTGACTTATGCCCTGAACCATGAGGATTATCTCTCTTCTGGGTTTAATTCCCTACCTGGGAATTAGTGGCAGTGGTTTCTATTCTGTTCTATTCTATTCTATTCTGTTTTGTTCTGTTCTTTCCTTGCTGTTTTGTATAGCCATGTAGCTATCTAATTTTCTTTCCAAACCTATTAAGCTTTGGGCCTCCTTTACAAAGTACAAGTGTAGCTTAGAAATGGCTTGGTTTCTCTTTCTAGCTTTGCCATCAGCCTTATTTGCTAGGAACACAAGTTACACATAAACTGGTTTAAGTCATCAGAAACTGGTTTAAACCTGTAACAGAACAGAAGTTCAGTGCACATAAACCAGTTTCAAAATGGCTGAAACTGGTTTACGATAAACCTGGTTGAAAGTAATATCAGAGATTTAACTGATTTGGGTCAAACCGGTTTATGAAACTTCTGTCCCAGACCCCTTCCTGGTTCAAATTAAATCACAGTCTCCCAGTATCCCAGCATGCTTTCCAACCCTGGGCTGGGCTGTGCTGTCTGCTTCAGCAGAGAAGGTTTGGTTTGGTGCGGGGGGAAGGGGGAGAGAGGCAGGGACTGTCCCCTCTCCCTCCCCCCAGGCAAACCCTGGCTGGGGTCTGGGGCCAGGGAGGAGGGTTAAACCTCCCTTCCCCCGAGCACAGAGCTGCCCTGCCCTGCCCAGCTCTCCTTACCTTACTGAAAATTACTGCTGGCTGTGACTGTGGACTACAAATCCCAGAAGCACCTGGAAGCAAGAAAAGGAAGTGATGAGCAGCCCTGCAGAGTCCTGCTCCTGTGATGCTGGGCTGCAAATCCCAGAGACCTCAGGAACAGCAGGAAGAGGAAGCAAGCACACAGCCAATGCTAGCTATGTGCCAGAGAGCCATACTCTAGTGCCCCCCCCGGCTTCTGGCCTCAGCTACTGTAGGCATGTGGCTGCATTTCCTGAGTCAAAGGTAAATGTGTGTCCAGTTGTTTCTCAGTTTAATCTTCGCAGCTTAGATTAACCTGCAAAGACTGAATTGATTCAGCCTCAGGCTTTTTGACTGTCTGTACTTAGCCCTTGTGTTTGAGAGTCACTTAACCTTCCTATGCCTCAGTGTCCCCACCTGCAAAATAGAGATATACTGATCTCTCATGGTAAAGCACTTTGAAGTCTACTGATCACAAGTACCATATAAGTCCTGTATTACTTACAGGTGCTATAACACTATATAGGTGTTTTCTTATGTGCTAGCAGCCAGTTTCACATTCATGCTGCATAAAAATATCTTCTTTCTCTGTAATTTTCCACCAGTTGGTATTACTCTAGATGAGAACAGCTTTCCTCCCCTGCCTAGGAGAAAACCATTTGACAAATGGAAGCTCTAGCTATTCCCACAGAAGTTTTATTCCTGTTTCCATCTAATCATTCCACTAGGCGCTGCACATGGAATTGAGGAGAGTGTTTGCCACCTGATGACCGGAGATTTGCTGAGATGAAAGGGAGATTTCAGGGGGATATTAGGAGAAAATTTTGAATAGCAAGTTCTGTCAAGCCATGGAACGGGGATTGGTTGATGTGTTGATACTGAATCCTTTCAAACTAGCTTGCCCAAAGCTCTGGAGAATAGACTGCTGGAATGATTTCAGTAAATGAAGAAAGCCTCATCCACTTCATCCTTCTGGTCTGGTGGTCTAAAACAGATACCCACCACAAGATTACACTTCTTGCTCTGCTTTCTGACCCTAACCAAGAGACTTTCAACAGCCCTGTCTCCAGTTTCATATCGGAGCTCTAAGCAATCATACAGCTCTTTTACATAATGTAAAACTCCTCTTCCTCTTCTCCTCTGCCTGTTCTTCCTGAACAGTTTATACTTATACAGTGTTCCAGCCATGAGAGCTCCCACCAAGTCTCTGTTATTCTGATCATTTCATAGGTCTGTGACTGTGCAAGGACTTCCAGTTCCTCCTGCTTGTTTCCCAGGCTCCATGCATTTGTGTACAGACACCTGATGTAACTAGCCCATTGCCATACTTTCTCAGGAAGAATGAGAAGGCCTTCCTGGTTGCCTCTTCCTGCTTGCGCTTCCTCCAAGTCACCTGCTTTCCCACTTAACTCAGGGCTTTGGTCTCCATCCCCCAGCAAACCTAATTTAAAGCCCTTCTCACTAGGTAAGCAAGCCTGTCTATGAAGATGTTCTTCCCTCTCTTCATCAGGTGGGTCCCTTCTCTTTCTGGCAATCCTTCTTCTTGGAACAACATCCCATGGTCAGAAAAACCAAAGACCTGCTGGCAACACCATCTGCACAACCATATATTGATCCACAGGATGCATCTGCTCCTGCCCGGGCCCTTCCCTTTGACTGGAGAAGAACACCACCTAAGCCTCTGTCCCCTTCATCCTTGCACCCAGAGCCCGCTCTCCCTGGCAGTGTCACTGTTGCCCACATTGATGAGAAGCATGGGGTAGTAGTTAGAGGGCTGGATAAGTCTCAGTAATTCTTCCATGACATCTCAGACCCAGGCTCTGGGCAAGCAGCAGACCTCTCAGGACAAGTTTAGGCTGGTAGATGGATGCCTCCATCCCCTGTAGAAGGGAGTCTTCAACCACCACCACCCATCGCTTCCTCTTAGTGGCAGCGGGCTCAATCCTCCCAACCTTCAGGATGCCTATCCTGGCCTCTTGCACCAACAGAATGTGCTCCTGCATCTTCTCCGTTCTTGCTAGGGCTCCATTTCTGTTCTCCAGACAAACCGCTGCAGGTGGAGGTGAAGACTTCTGCAAGCTTCCGTCTTCCACCTTCCTGGGACTCCATGTCCTCTTCCTTTTCTACTGCGGTCTCTGGCAGTCCTTCCTCTGCAGTCCTAGAAGTCTCCTCCGGTATCAATTTATTAAATCCCCATAGTGGAGGATGCTTCAGAGCCTCACCACCTCCTCCTGTAGCTCTCTAGCTGGCAAGCAGAGGAAGAGCTGCTAGTGACAGTGGCTCTGGTATTGTGACGTCCTCCAGCCATTTTGGATCTCTTAATCCACTGCCCATCTTGTCCTGCTCCTTTTTCCAAGCAGACCTTCCCTACCAAACTCCCCTGTAAGCTGGCCTGTTCACTGCTCTTTGCTCCCAAAAGGTTCCCTTTTCCCTGCTAACCTGTGTCATGTCACCAAGCTTACCGTGAAGGAAGGTGAGAGAGTTTCCAGACAAACTCCCGAGCGAACTCCTCCTTGCTCTGGACTCTAGTTAAACAAGGGGTTCAGGTATTGGTCTAACTGCTGAGTTTTAGCTATTTACATTAAGTATATGTTGGCTAATTACTCTCAATTAAAGAAAGAGCTCCAGGAGTCTTAGGGAGTCTCCTTTTATACGCTTCTGGGCCTGGCCTGGGTCCGCCTCCTTGTTAGGGCTTTTGTCAGACATAGGCAGCAATCATCATCACCCAGCAAGAAGCACTCCCCGCTGCTCAGAGCACACACCCAAACACACAGACCACTAACAAACACTCAGTCCTGGCTCACTTAACTTCCCAAAGCAGAATCTGGTGCCTGGCTCCTCTTCCTCTTCCCCTTCCTCCTCTTGCTCCCAGCCAACTGCATGCAAACTACCCTGTTTGCTGCCCCTGATGGCTCGCTCGGTTTCCGCCAGTCCTGCTTTCTGCAGCCCCACAGTTCAGGCACAAGGAGTGTTTTATCTCGAGGCCTGGCTTTGGAGATGAAGAAGCTCCTCATCTGTTCCTCGCCAGAAGAGCTAATCCCACCCATTTCCTCCTACAGCTCCCCTCACAGCCAGAGAACAGCAAGATTCATGTTCAAGGCTTCCCCAAACAAGCCATGAATCAGTGCAGCTTTTCCAGGCCTGATTAGGAGCCACCATTAATCTGCAGTTAACAAAATTTAAGGCTCAGCAGGATTTGAGCAGCATTGTTAGAAAATTCAGATTTCTCCTTCTGCCGTCTGATCCACACAGAAGTCACCGAAGCACAAGGAAAGCAGATTCCAAATGCCTAAGAGAATTGGAGTTAATGAAACTTTCTCTCTGGGTCTATCCAAGCAGTTCAGACCTAGATAATTGGATTGGTACTATGAGGAAATGCCAGTGCTCCCAAAATTTCCATTAAAACAGATGTTATAAAACAGCTCCGTTTAGAAATAAAGCCATTCTTCCAGGTAACTTTAGATTTCAGTGAGTCTGAGGTTTTGGTGCTGTAAATCCTTCCATGAGACCTGAGTCAAAGCCAGTCAAGGTGCATATCCATCACAGCTGCCTATGCTTGAGGTACATCTAGTAGATAGCCTGGCTTAATAGCCATGAAATAGCACTCTGGTTCTGTGTCCATTCTAGCACAGCATTCAGACATGGGTGGCTCTAGGATGTCTTACCATGCTGCATGGTTCAGTGTGCTGCAGCAAACTGAAGATTTCTATGCATTCTGTCTCAGTGCATTTGGGAGAACCTGTCTGTCCTTCTCAGGCGCATGAGGAGGATTGGGGTCTTAGTGAACCCTGCATGCTGCTAGCTGGAGTCTGCAGCGGATGAGTTGTGCTCTACTAATCTTTCTTTCATAACCCCTTGTCAGGTAGGGATGGGACTGGAATTAGGGACCTCTAGTTATAATTTAAGTTAATGTTTCAGGGAAGATGAGCTCTGGAAATTTTAACCCTAGGCTGGTATTGTTCATCAGGTTAGACAAGTGACTTTTGCTCCTGTGCAAGTGTCTGTTTTATGACTCAGTCCACAAGACCTTTTTCCAAGTTAGTTCTGCTACCTTTTGTGCACTTGCATCCCAAGGTTGCTCCCTAGTGGTGTCAGACACTGTGCCCTTGTTTCATCCTTGGGTTCTAAAGTAAGACTCCCCATGCCACAAACAACCACTTTATTTGTACCTCTGCTCTCCAGAGGCACAGGACACAGTTCTCCCTGCCTGCCATCTTTCTATTGTCTTGGTGTAAAGCCAGATTGGAATGGTAGACATCCACCCTTGCTTTGCATAGGAGGAAATGATGACACAAAGGGGGAGAGTCATGGGAAGGCTGTCATTGATGCCATGTTACAATCTGACCACTTCAGAGAGCTGAAGAGATGTGCCATCCTGTTTGGCATCATAATTCTACCTGTTAACAATATACGGTAATTTCCTCAGCTGGTCTAAATGTATGTATTTTTCAAACAGTAATAGAACTAACTGTAGGGAAGTCAATGGACTGGGACTAAGATGATCCTGGTGTCATTCTTAGCTCAACCACAGACTTCCTGTTTGACCTTGAATAAGTCATCACACCTCGGTGGCGGAGAGGTCACTCTCACTAACAAGGCAATAAGCTGCCACAACCTGCTCCCTCTTTCACACATGAACTCTGGAAGCAAGGCAGTGAAGGCGCTTTCAAGATAGGGTGACCATTAGTTTGGCTTTGGCTAGGACACTCCCAGTTCCATAGCCCGGTCCTGGCTAGTTGGTCAAAAGTCCTGGGCCAGAGGTGGAGCAGCATAGTGCACCAGGCAGGTGGACTGCAGCAGGCACCACCCTGTCCACACATGGCACATCCTTGCTCCCACACAGAAGCAGTGGTCCCTGCCCAGCCACCTGCCGGGCAGACCATGTTACTCCACCTCCCTGCCAGATTGCAGCCCGGGACTTTTGACCAACCAGCCAGGTGGTCACCTACTTAGAGGTGCCCCAACTGCCCCCCTTGAACATGCTGGAAGCCCAGGTCTTGAGCTCAGTACCGCAAACATCCTAGAAGTATCCTCAGTTCCCGTGCTTCGGTTCCCCAGCTTTAAATGGGGACAACACTTCCTGTCTTGAAAGATAAATTCCATTAATGGCTGTAAGAGGTTGAGCTCCTGAAAGATGAGAACCACCAAAGTAGCAAATTTGTACCAGCTGAGGATCTGGCCCAATTGACTTGTCTCTTATGCACGAGTGGGTTATCTACCTGGGAGACAGTCAGTTCTGTGTCCACTAATCCCCTCCAAATGAAACTTCCCTAGGGCTAGGTCCCCCG